TCCAGCTGATGTCTGCTGCTCCCGGCTGCCCAGGACTTTACCGTGGTCCCACAGGTCTCAGTGAGCAGGGCCAAACCTGTTGTGGTCCTGGAGCATGAAGTGTTGCTATGTGACACTGCAGCTCTCCAGGGCCGCGCTGGGGCATGGCTCCTGTAACTCCTTGTTTCCTGGTCCCTGGACAGCCCTGTCCCCTTTTGCTCCTGCCCTGTCTGCATTTCTACCTGTGCCAGCACAGGGACATGGTCGCTCTGGGCATGTGCCCTCCAACCTCCCCTGCCAGCCCCAAAAAATTCTTGCTGGTGTTGAATGTGCAAAGGAAGAGCAGGGAGTGGAGAACAGCCATGGTGATTGCCACTTTGCACCCCAACGATGGGCTGCACTGGGGCTGGGACCTCCAACAGCTTGATTTTACCCAAAGGTTTGCATCTTTTGGGTACTCGTCTCCCCCTGCACCAAGGGAGACTGGGGGCGAGTGGGTACCCATTGAGCACAGCCCTGCCACATGCTGGAGGAGACCCAACTGCCGCAATGCCCTGGCCCAAGGGCAGGTTTGCTGAGGGCTCCTGACCCCGAGCGGGGTTTCTCTCCGCCACAGAGCCCAGCCCAGCTGGTACGGCCGTGGCTGCCTTTGTCAATGCGCCTTTGTCTGGCCTGGCTGCCGAGCTATTTGAGGAAAGTGGCGACGGCTTTTGTGTTTCTATCTCCCGTCAGAGGTATTTATAGCCTGCCGCTGACTAGTGCTGCCAAGCACGCTGGCAGCTGGACCCCGCTCCCTTGGGGTGCTGCCGTGGCTGCGGGCACTGCTCCTCCCTCTCCCTCCCACCGCTGTTGGCAAGCGAAGGGGGGTCCCTCTGTGGGCATCCCTCCTGCATCCCTGTCCACGGGCTGCTTGGGGCTAGCCAGGCTTGGGAGAAGGGGGATCCCCTGGCACAGCCCATGGCTTGGGCGAGGCTGGTAATGTTTTTTTTCGGCCTGTGATCACTTGTGTCCTAAGCAGACAAGAGCGCTGCAGGGTTTCAGCCTGGAGCATCAGCAGGAGAGAAGGCGTTCGCCATTTCAGGGGGCAGATCTCCCCGCTGGACTCCAGTTTGCTCCACTGCCGTGGACCCAGCCATGCCCAGCGCCTTCCCACTGGGGGCT